CTCCTTATACAGGCGGAGCTTGGAGGCCAGAAGGGCAATCTCGTTAGGGTCGATGGTGCTGGCTAAGCGAGCGACCAATGCGAAGTCCTGCGCGAGGGAGCTGCCGTTGGCCTTGGGGGCCGCGGGCAGTGTTTTGGGGACGGGTTTGTGTATGGGCATGGGCGGGGCCGATTGGGCGGGCGGTGCCGACTGGGCGGGCGGGGCTTTCTGGGCGGGCGGGTTGGGTGCTACCTTGCTTACAATTGCCGGGGGTTTAATCCAGGCATTGTTAGCAGGCAGAGGGGCGGGTACGAGTGGCTCGGGTTGTGTTTGAGCCTTGGCGGGGGCACGTGCCGGAGCACGGTTGCCCTGGGTGTGGGTGGCCTTCTTTTTGGCGGGACGTGGGGCGCGTGAACAACCGCGGTAATTCGCGGTGTGACCCTCTGTGAGGCAGAGGGTGCAACTGGGGGGCGTGGGGGTGTTGGGCCTACGGCCGCAATCTGCGGTGGCGTGATCGCCTAGGCACTTGACGCACCGTGGGCGAGCGAAACAATTACGGGCAGAGTGCCCGTAGTTCTGACAACGGTGGCATTGTCCGGGGTAGGTACGCTTGCGAGGCGCCTCTACGGAGAGTGAGGATAGTTGGCAAACGCTCTTTATATCAAAGATCGATTTGCCTTCTGGGGATAAGTCTAATACGACTAGAACAAGGTCGATAGCGGCCTTGTTGCGTGAGCGCGACTGGTACATACGATGTACCTCGTGCGCTGGGTAATTCTGGGACTGAAGGTCCTCAAGGATGGAGTCTGTTGAGAGCTCCTTGGGTAAACCGCGTATTACAACGCGGAGCTTTTTCTCTTCCTCGAGAGCATAGGTGTGATAACCTATGTTTTTCTCCCGCAGGAAGGTGGTGAGACGACGATGGTCGTCAGATGATGGGACTGATACTTTGATCCCTATTGAGGTAGCCTTAGCATGGCTGAAATTGATATGCTTGTTTTTAAGCATATTGGATACGGTGTTCCAGGCACTTTTGTCCTGGATGATGACGGGGGCGGGGCTTTGGTCTCGGGGTGCGACTTGCGTGCACTCGGACCGGGGGCGGTTTTAGCGGTGCCGTCATGGGCACGCTTTGTTTTGGCTGGCTGGGAGCCCTGGGTCTTCTTGGCACGCTTGTTGCCAACAAGAATAAAATCGTCCTCGTCTGAGGAGACCGGGGGGATGGGAGAGGGGACGTCGCCGTCGCGGATGGCGTCGAGCTCCATACTAGGAGCGTCAAGCTCCGCGACGGAGTCGTCCTGCTCCATGGCGGGCGTGGCGGGTTCGGCCTGGTCGGCTTGGGTCGGGGGAAGCGGCGGGAGCCGTTGCGAGTCGTCCTCGAATTCGTCAGTGTCAGTGTTCGGTTCGTCAGTGTGAGTCATCATTGGGGACGCGGGGGGCGAGCTGTACACTAAGTGGACGGGCTTGGCGGCTTTGAATGCTATAAAAGCATTTAAGATGCCGGGACACTTTTTTTCCAGGAACTGGAAGAACAGAGGCATATCGGCCTCTGATAAGGACATTTTTTTTTGAACAGTGGTAATGTTAATTACCACTGTTCAAAAGAATAGAATAAGAGTAGAAATAGTAATATAAAACAATACAATAACAATACAACAATACAATACAATGAAACAATAGGGTAAGTCAGTACTTAAGATAAGGACGGTCGTCGGCGGGTGCAGCCGACGGTGTCAGCGGGGGCCTCCCTGCCGGGTGAGGCAGGGGGGTGAGTGCCTATTGATATGTGACCCTAATATAAGATCACTAATCTTATTGAGTGAAAAATGTGTACCTAAGCGAACCTACTTGGTGGCGTCGGCGGCGGGCGGCAGGCAGCAGGCGTCGGCGGGTGTTGGTGGCAGCGGCGGCGGCTCGGATCGGCGCGTCGCGCAATAGGCGTGACGCACCTCCCTAACTCACGACAGTCCGTGCCACTGAACGTCCACACACAACACTTCACTTCACTTGAACGAAGAGAGTTTCTCCTTCAGTCCTCACAACACAACACTACACACGCGGAAAGTCCGGTAGCACTGTGTCGGAACGGATGCCGAGAGCGCGGTCGGCCGCGGTCGGCGCGGGACACGGAGGCCCCGGGCCACGCTAGGTGCACCGAGTGCACCTAACACGCGGCGAAGTATAAGAATAAGAACGCGCGAACGTAACTGCGCTACGTGCGCGCGCGCGGTGGTTTGCTCGAGGGAGCAGAGAACAGCGAGACGGCGGCGGGACTAGCGAGCACATACGTGCGTTCGCTAGCGCGTCGGTCAGCGGAGTCTGATTTATTTGGAATGCTTTACAACTTATGTGCGTAAAATCATGTCATTAGTATACTATACAAACAGGTGATTCCATTCATGAAGTGAGAAGGCAATGCTAGTGCGCTCCTGCTCGCACCGGATTTATAAGCAAGGCGATCGCGTTGCGCCGGCAGTTGGAGCGTAGATGTATTCCACTAATCATGTGTGCTGCTACAGTAGCAATAGATAATGATTCAAGAGGAAGGTTTATTTGTATAATACATTTACAGCCGCGCCAAGCCGGGGTGTGTAGGTAGTTGTATCTACAACTTGCTGACCGCGATTATGTCTGCTTTTTTGAGATGTGAGAGATATAAAGATTACCTGCGCCCGTTGCATTCAGCAGTTAATAAGTAACAAACAAACAGACACTTTTGTCTCGTCTATTTGTACTGTAAAGCAGCTATGTATACTATTTTTGAAGTCGGGGGGTGGGGGGTGTGGGGGTAATTTTGTTCTCCTAGGGGGGTATCTCTGTTCTCCGTCGTCAATGATTACAAACACACAATACAAATGGCCCATATGGGGGGGAAGGGTACAATCCCCGTAATGTGCACTCATAACCCCATTACTGGCAATGTACCATGTCAGGTTGACCTTCACGCGATTCCCTCTGGAAACCATCGCGATAAATTCCTGGTGAATTTATCACGATGGGCTAACTGACGTGACCTCGCTCTCATTTTATCACCGTCCACTGGTGCCCCGCCAGCGTAAACCATTAGCGCAGGTGGGTGCACCAATCCATTGTCTTCCATAATAAAAAGTGACCATGTAATTGAAAATACTGTAGCCTGTGCCTATAGACGACTAAACTGATAAAACCACTACTCGTTACCAACCCTTAAGAAATTGGGGTGCCATTCACCCCAATTTTTTTATTATTGTTAATGTAGACGAATAATGCCACTGCTCACAATATATCATGTCAGGATGACCTCCACGCGGAAACCATCATAAATCCTGGAGAATTTGCTACCATGAGCTTACTGACCAGACCTCATGCTCATCTTATCATTCTCCACTGGTGCCCCGCCAGCGTAAACCGTTTGGCGCAGGCAGGTATACCATTCCATTACCATGCCTTAAGAACCACAATATGTCATAATTTTTTCGCATCTGTAACAATGCGCATACTCATTCCGCAGCTAACTTCACAAACAAAGATCCGTGGCGAGCACTGTACGTAAGGGATTTTGAAGCGAGTTTTTTAATGATAGAGTGATTCTAGTTGAAGGTTTATATGTATATAATAGCAAATAGTGCGGTTGTAGCATATAACTTCACTATTTGCGTTTATAACGCTCGCATTTTATGACCTACTTTATATATTGAAAACCGATTGAATTATATCTAAATATATATATAACTCAAAGGTGACTGACGTAGTGATTTATCAACGCACAGCCCAAACCACTGGACGGGCTGAAATTTGGCATGCAGGTAGATGTTATGACGCTAACTAATTTTTTTTAGGATTTTGAATAATTCTACTCCAAAAGGGATAAAATACGGGATGAAAGTTTATATGAAACTTTGTCAATTTTAAACCGATCGGGTTGAGACTTTGCATGCATAAAGTTACTATAATGTAGGCATCCCCTAAAAAAGGATTTTGATAAATTCCACTCCTAAGGGGATAAATTAACGCGAGCGAAGCCGCGGGCAAAAGCTAGTCTACTATACGAACAAATGTGTTGACAACCAATCTAGATAATTATTGAAGGATGAAGTTGACTGACGCCGCGTGAAGTTCGAAATTTGATAAAAAATAAACAAGCCAATAGTGTACCATAACCGTATGGTATATAACTTCACAATTTGCACTTATAACACACGCGTGTATAAAACACGGTTTATAGAGCTGCTTTAATATCGAAAAGCGATTCAATTAGATCTGATCTGTGTTGAAAAGAAATCTAGAAAGTCATTGATGGTTGTAAGTGAAGACGACCGTATTTTTCTTATTGGGTTGTTTGGGCTATTATCAGATGCTTGGACCTTTAGCACTGCGGCCTATATAGATCTATTGCGCTCGCCCTTTTTCAGAGTTCGCTACCTAGACCTGTCAGGGACAAGAATTCAAGGATTTTATTAGGAGCGATGGTTTTTATCTCCTCAGGAAAGAGTGTAATCCAAAGGAGATATTTCGTTTATGCATGAGTGGTCTACAACCACATAGGACGTGTAATAGTTTAGACAAAATCTGCAGATTTTTGTGCACAGGCCTAGGTTTGCCATATGTTTGTCAATTAGCAGTGTCCTGTCAGGGCCCCAGTCATTAAGGGCCATTCAGGTATTACGTAAGCACTATAGTGGGGGTTGCTTTGCTTATTTTGGTGACATGGGGGGTGGGGGAGTCTAGATGATTACGTTATAGGTAGTTATTTACTTTTTTACACGAATGGCAACCCTCACATTGTCTTTGCTAAAAAAAACAATACATGAATTGAAAATGTTTACGTAAGCTTGGGGGGAGGGGGTAAGAGCTTTGCTTACTTTTGCTGACAAGGGGATGGGGGTAAATAAATGTAATAAATCTGCTTACATAATACTTGAATGACCCCTTATTGCATATGTTTTACTCAATAGCAATAGTCTATTGCAGTATTTGTTCGAGTAGCCCGATATTAGGGTTTTTGAAACCCCCGTAACTAGAGAGTTGAATAAAACGAAAAGTCCCGTGACACTGTGTCAAGATTTATTAAAATCCATCATACACAGCGGTCGCGAGCACTTAACGCTAAATGGGGAGTCATTTGTCGTCATCCTTGAAGACCATGGTGCTGTGGCACTTGCCGCAGTAGTGGCGATCTTCCATCACGGCCATGAACACGCCGGCGCCGCACTGTTCGCCGGTACACTCTCGCCGGAGACGGTGGATCTTACCGTTCTCGTCCACCTGCATCACAACAATATCAATAAGGAACCGTCCAAAAAACAGCAATATTCATAATATTAATACTAGATTTAAAGACAAACTTGCTGTCCCCAAGTATCGTTTAGAAAAAGTCAATAGGTCTTTTATAGGAATAGGTATAAAATTTTACAATAAGATACCAAAGGATATATTGGAATTACCCTTACATAAATTCAAAACATCTGTTAAATCATATTTACTGAGCAAGGCCTATTACTCACTAAACGATTACTTGAATGACGAGCGTGCATGGCAATAGTTTTCATGTTCGGGATTTTCATTTTATGTTAGACATAGACACCTATATAAATAGGTATTTATTGCATAGGTATGCATTGTAAATAAACTGGATTAAAAAAAAAAGTAATTCTTAGTTTCTTGCCAGTTCTTCTCAATTGGATCTATATACCGAACTGGACGGTAGGGAAAAAATTATAATGTAAAAACTTGACGTTCATAAGCGGCTAAAATGTCCTACATGAATCAATTATTTTAGAATTTGAAAAAAAAAACCACATGATACTCGAAAATGAGGGAGAACCCAGGGTTAGGCAAAAATCACGAAATATATCAAGGCGGAAGGGTGTAGTTAAAGATCACATGCATTTGTTTTTCGTGTACTGAGCGATTTCTAGACAAAAAAGTGTGTAGTGGTGACTTTGACTAGTGTGAATATTTCTAGATACTAAAAATACATGTGATTTTGGGGACTAGTACTTAAAATTTCTGTAAATACTTAAATTGAAATATGTCACGCAAGACTCGTCATAGGACGGTTGAGATCCCAGATTAATTATTTTTACAGGGCTTATCCAATCCTTATTGTTATAAAATAACATTATTACACAATACACGAGTATTTTAATGGAATTGACATCAACAGAATTTAAAAACAAAATAAAATAAAAAAAAAACGTGGATGAGCTTAAGACGCTGCTATAATGGATTTTTGTATAGATACATGATTGTTACCACTATAATTGTCATATATTTTCATATTTCATTTGTCCACATACAGACCTTATAAAACCTGAGCACGGCTAGTTTGACCTTCTTCTTCTTGTGCTTGATCTTCTTGGGTGTGGAGTAATTCTTCTTCTTGCGTTTCTTGGCGCCACCACGCAGGCGCAGCACGAGGTGGAGGGTGGACTCCTTCTGGATGTTGTAGTCGGATAATGTGCGGCCATCTTCCAGCTGTTTGCCCGCGAAGATCAATCTGGAGGGAAAGAGAAATGTTTGGTTAAACAGCAATAATATGTGCAAAAATAAATAATAATAGCTTTTATTGCTATCTGTGGAGGATGACCGCGATGAATTGCGGGTTCGACTCCTTGCACGGTACAAACAATTATATTTATGAGTATGATTGTTTGTACCAGTCTGGGTGTTTTCTATGTATATTATGTATATATATATTTACAAAAAAACATATATCTAAGTATTTATATCAGCTGTCTAGTACCCATAACACAAGCTCTGCTTACCGTAGGACTAGATGGCGCTGTGTTAATTGTCCAGGGTAAAAAAAATGTCTCATGCCAATTGGATTTTCCTACTACCGAGCTGTAAAGCTAGATATGGTTAGAATGTGACCAGCATCCTCTACTTTACTAGTGGATGACAATGGAATGGTACACCCGTCTGCGCTAACGGCTTATGCTGGCGGGGCACCAGTGGAGAATGATAGGATGAACATGATGTCAGGTCAGTTAGCACATCGTGACAAATTCACCAAGAATTTATCACGTTGGTTTCTAGGGGGAACAGCGAGTACCTGACATGGCACATTGCTAGCAATAACTTCATCAATCCACAGTACTAACCATCCCCTGTCCCTCCTGTAGACACCAGGAGACTTCTGCGCTTTTATGAGGACCTTGGCTGGCTACTTCAGTAGTGTGGCTCTACACGCACAACGGCCCAGATGAGACTTATTACGGAGAACGGAGTCCAACTTACATTATATTACATTACATCCCCTCAAAAGTGGCAATTCCCAGAACAAATCAACGAATGACAAAACGCCTAATAAATCTGGACAGGCATAACATAAAAACAATGATAGGGACAATGACGGGCCACTGTCCCTTAAACAGACATTTGTACACAATAGGTGCTACAGACAGTCCCCTATGCCGGGGCTGCTTTGTAGCCGAGGAAACGGCCGCTCACGTAATCCTGGAGTGCGAAGCAGTGACCACACAACGAAATCAAATCCTCGGTGAGGTCGCTCCGAGAAGCCTGCGAAGACACCAGGAGACTTCTGCGCTTCAGGGAGGAGCTTGGCTGGCTACGTTAGTAGCCTGGCTCTACACGCACAACGGCCCGAATGAGAGGCCAATTGCGGAAAATGGAGTCCAACCTACATTACATCCCCTTTCCCTCCAGCTTTACTAATTGACTGTGTGATAGTCCTGCCACAGCTAGCTAAGTCTTCATAAAAGGTCGTAAAATGCAATTGTGAATACAAACCTCTGCTGATCAGGTGGAATGCCCTCCTTATCTTGTATTTTAGCTTTCACATTTTCGATGGTATCTGACGGCTCGACCTCAAGGGTGATGGTCTTACCCGTAAGGGTTTTAACGAAAATCTGCATCTTGATTCACCTGTAACATTAAATGTGCACTTACAATGTTATATACTAACTGACCCGCGCGACTTCGTCTGCTTCACACTTATTATATATCGCCCCATTTACATATCTTTTTAAATTATAGCCAATGTGTTAATCTATATCAGATTAATTATAGCTAAATATATAAGCTATATTACTGTAATTTTCATCGAAATCCATTCAATACTTTTTGCGTGAATGAGTAACAAACATCCATTCATAAATACTCAGATTAATATAATACATACTATGTTCAAATGTCTACATTTATGCAATTTCAAATAAGGTCAATTCAAATATTTTGTGGTTGTACATACAGACTGTTTTGACATTTTATGGATTATAAGGGAATTGTGCCGGCATCCGTCTGCGCTTATGGTTTACATTGACGCGGCACCAATGATCAGATCAGATCAGATTATATTCAATTTAAAAAATCATTTATATATATATTACTAGCTGTCCCGCCAAACGTTTTGCCATATAAATTAATAACGCTATAAAATAATAGGGGTTGAAGATAGAAGGGTGAAAATTTAGGATTGTATGTATTTTGTATGTATTTTTGTATGTTGTATCATAAAAAAAAAAGAAACTAAAAATTTTGTCTAAAAAATAAAATAAAAAATAGATGTTGGCCGATTCTCAGACGTACTCAATATGCTCACAAAATTTCATGAGAATCGGTCAAGCCGTTTCGGAGGAGTATGGGAACGAAAACTATGACACGAGAATTTTATATATAAGATTTAGCCACTAATGAACGTCAAATTTTTTATATTATAATTTTTTCCCTATCGTATATATATTTATTATTATATGTATATGAAATAACTTGAAGATTTCAGCAGTAATTATCACTGATCATTTTTCTCCAATTATTTTATCTAATTAATTTTACATGTTATGAATCAGTGATGCTAGTGAGCCTGTAACCGTAACCGAAACTATCGGATATTCGATATAAAAAAATATCCGTAACCGTAACCGAATCCGAAATAAAAATATCGAATAAGTACGGAGCCTAATTGAGACAAGTTAAGTAACAGTATTATTAGCTATTTGTATTTTACTTTTGAAATTCCTTAAAAAAATTATATCCGTAACGTAAATTATCCGAAACTAACGGATAATCCGAAATAATTTCATGTATCCGTATCCGGTATTTCATATACATCCCTGTTATAAATCATATTGCATTGTCCTATGCCAATTAATAATCTGCATCAATTACGATATAAAATGTATATTGTAATGGTTTAATAATTGTCTTGCCTTAAATGGACTACAAATGTGAGCAAATAGCAATACATATTTTGTAAATAAATAAATATTTATTCATAAATATCCTTGTAGATGTAGATGTCATAATTTTTATATTTATTGCATAATGTTATTGTAAGATAGTGTAAGACTTGTTATAGTAAAATTTATTTGTTTCATATATAAAGACATAAATATGTACATCATTTAACATAAAATTACTCATATTAAGATTACTGTATTTAAACAAATTTTATAAACCTATTGTCTATATCATAAATAAATAAACATAAGTGTATATAAATTTATATTATACATAACAAGGAAATGTTTTTATTTTTATTCTTTATATGCAAAAATGCAATAATAATGCTTAAGAAGTTCTTACATTCAAGAAATATGTGTGAAACTGTGGATATTAATAATAACTATTAAATATTTAAATGTCATGTTTCTTAATGTTTTAAAGTTATTAACAAGTAGTAAAATGTATCAGTTGTTATATACCTTTGTATTAATATTATAATTTTGTTATTTATCAATCTAATATAAAAAGAGTCTTACCTAAATAATCAACAATACAATTTGAATTAATTTATAAACTAAATTAAATCAATATAATATTTTAGGACACTTGATTCGGGACAATGAATTTATGAAAGTTATTATTGAGGGAAAGAGAAGGAAATAGGGGGAAAGGAAGACCAAGACATGGCTGCATCAAGCAAATTAGTCATAATTGGAGTCATGACATATCAGGTTTAAAGGGTATGATGGAAGATTGGGGAAAGTAGTATAAGCTTCACTGGCAAGGGCTCCTAAATTACGAGTGAATGAATATTTACTTGGTAACATAAAGTTATAAAAAGAATGTTAATAAAATGCTGAAATGTTTTTATAATTTTATTCAACCAAATTATTCAAACTAACAGTACAGCATTAATGCAACCATCATTTTCCGGATTGTTCGTGACCTGTGCATACTTTCCCCACACCACTTTGCCGGCCTGTGTCACCAAACCCAACTCAGAAATGTTCACCTCAATAACGGTACCCTTTGTGATCACTCCGAGACTTGTGTACATTTGCGAGCTTGGATTTTTCTTCACACCTATTATGGGTAAGCAAAAGGTAGCTTTCAATTCCGGGTGGGTTACATGAGCCTTCTTGAAACGCAAAGCCATCGGTCGTATAAACCTCTCAAACTTCGGTGGTTTCCTAGTGAAATTTTCACCAACATATGTGACTTTGGTTACCATTCTCTTCCATGCTTTCCTCTTCGATTTCCCAGACTTTAGTACTTTAAACACTTCAGCGTCAGCCTGTGCTCTCACCTTTGGTATCGGCACGTCCCATTTTCCCGCCTTTTCTTTGCGTTTCTGTTTGATCATGTTGGAGAGTACCTTCGCTCGAGACTGTACATCTCTGTCCAGGAGGTACACCGGTAGCGCACCTTCCGACACTTTCTCAGTGTTTTGTTTGACATTTTTCTCCTCGTGCGCTTTGATTTTCTTTTTCATTTGTATCTTTTCATTGCGACGCTCCTTATTGAATATCTTCGCTTTAATGCCTCGCAGTTTGCGGGCCTTCTCTGCGCGCTTGTGGGGCTCACGTGCCTCCCGCTTTCGCTTACGCTCCTCATAGTCGAGCCGTCTGCCGTAAAGCTTTTGATGGCGTTCAATATATTCGTTTTGCGGCATTGTGGTTGCTTATTCGGCAACTACAACAAAATTATGGCGTCATCAGTTGTTTCAATGCTTCTAAATTTCTAAGTTTCACTTCGATAAACCTCTGGTACCACTGTGCTTTATTAATTTTGTTTATTTCCGTAAAATCTTGATGAGAATAAAAGATTGATTTGGAATTTACAAAAAACACGAGTTTGATGTAACCTATAAATGCGAGCCCAAGTCAATTAATCACTCCACGTGTACAATATTTTTAATAGTAGTCGATTATTTTACAAAATAAGTTTGTAAGTCTGATACGAAGATATGGAAAATAGTAATATGGTAAAAACTTACGTGATATTTCATAAAATAAAATAAAATTGATTAACTCACGTTAGTAAGACACCATGACAGAAGTGAAAAGGAACCTCTATAGGGATGTCCACTCGAGTTATTAACTGTTGTGTGACTAACGTTGAACTTGAGTTAACCGGTAAACGAATAAAATGAAAAAGCAAGAGCGCGTTTCAGTTAATTCACTTCAAAGATTAATTGAATAAACAATAATTCGTGAATACAGAAACCGTAAATACGGAATGGTAAACAATATGGGATTATAGGGTATTTATTATAGGGTAATCCTGTAATCCCCGTCCCAATCTCAGTTCCAAGGCCGCCTCTCCGATTGATCCCCCATCCAATTCAAATGGGGATCGATATTACGACGGCCTGAGCCGAGATTCGAACCCCTAGCGGTGCCCTCGAAAATCGTATCCGTCAGGCGGGAGTTGGCCTTCAGCCGCTCCATAAGTCCTTCCGCGGGTTTGGAGTGCCATCTGCACTTGCCCCCTATCGTCCGGTGAAGCTGTAAAGGCCAGCTGCGGCCAACAGCATTAGAGTAGTCTGGAAAAAAAAGTTCCTAGGTGAGAACGTAAAAAAAACAAATATATTTAAAAAAATTAATTTAATTGAAGTTTCTAAACATCGCGGTGAAGGCGGCTTATATAAAAGTCCCAGGTGATATCATATACTTAACAACATACCTTAGGCCCAGTTGTAATAAGATCTTTTTTACCATTTGACGGCATCAAAGGATATAGGGTTGGATACCTATATCCTTTGTAAATGCCGTCAAATGGTTATTAGTTTTTTTTTTATTTATTAAAACTTTAATGCGCAGATATACAAATAAAGGTGCACATGGCGCACTTAACACCTAGAGGCATTTTCTACCAGTCAACCATAGGGCAAACAGAGATCATGTGGGCGGTACATTATAATTAACATATAATATTTACATACATAACTTAATAATGTATATACATACATACCAATACATATGAAGAAGGAGAGTTAGAGGAAAATTAAATAGTATTGAAATTTGGGATAAAAAGAATTACTCTAGTTCAAGTAAAGGTGTTTACGTAATTTTGATTTAAATGAGAATTAGATATGCGAATAAATAATTTTTTGGCGCGAATATAGGAATTGGGTGTCATTTTTTTTATCCGCGAAGTGAAAACGGAAACGAAGGAAGTGCGTATAAAAAACTTTTACAGTAGTTCGAAAAATTAAAAAAATAATCGGTATTCAACTCCTGTTATCTCGTCATGTTTACGTACGATAGCACGTCTCTAAAACTGGATATTGTGGTTACCAGTGTTGCCAAGAAGTTGCTGATTATGTTTTCGAACAAAATAAATATCTTGGTCTTCATCGACAGTTATGCTAATCACAGATTGCCTACATGACAAAAGTAATCTCAATAAGAGTGCTGAAACGGGATAAAAATTATTATGACAACAGTCTGTTCCAAAAATTGAAGTAAATATACCAAAAGGCTCTGTTCCTTTCATACAAGTCGGTATGTCATCAAGTGTGATAGAGACAAACTTGTCAGTGGAATTATTTCGGATCGTTTATTTCATGCTTAAATCTTTATTATATCGTTTTGGTTATTATGTTAATCAGTAATATATAATGAAATGAAATATTTTAATTGCGTTTGGATGTAGCTGTTTTATTAATTTATATGTAATGTTGTCCAGTCCTGGTGCTGTGTTTCCTAATCTTAAGCGAAATATGAATACAGAAAAACAGTGTAAAGGGTTCATTGATTTCAGATTATCAGATCGATTCAATACAATATATCAACTAAATTTGCATCATTGCATGGTGATGAAGCTGTCAATATCTTTAAGAAACTTTGTAACCACTCATCATTGAGATATTTGTTGGTAGATGTACCTATCTTTTTAATTTTTTTAATGCTTGATCTTGATGAAAGATTTTGATAAAATCTTATCTTATGAAATGTTATCTGAAATATGAAAATCTTAATTAGGTGCTTTTCTATTAAAACAATCATGAATTTTTTTTAAATAATTGTTGCGGTAACTCTATATTATATAAGGACTTTCTTAGACTTTTGAACAGCATAAAATTAAAAAATCATTTATTCATGTAGGACATTTTAGCTGATTAGGAACATAATTTTTTTTATATCATAATCATCACATGTTTTGTTCCACCAAGGCACTGGTTTTTTTAAAGTGTAGTTTGTTTAAACTTTCATTTTGGAACTATCTTGTCTTTGATATCATATAAAATATTGTATATATTATTATATACATCCAAGGTATAAAATACAGTCTGATAAAGAGTGATCCAGTAATCCAGAGACTAGTCTGCTTTATTATATAATTTTTTTCTTCTACAGGTGGAACCTCAACACTGATGAGTTCACATTTACCTGAGTTGGATAGTGATGGATTTTCCACTGCCAGAGGAGATTTTAGGATCATTGACCCGAAACATTGATCTTTATAACCATTAATAGACTATTGAAATTGTTGTTTCAGTAAGTAAATGATTGTTTAAACATGTTGGTAATTTTAATTAAGATTTTATTTTAGTTAAATTCAAATAGGTTGTACTTTTCAGTCATGTTTCCATTTTTAGGCACAAATAGTTTATATGGTATGTTCTTGTATAGCTTCAAATTGCAAATGTTAAATGATTGTTGTTTCTTGGATAAATATAAGAGATTGTTACATTAACAAATATATGTTGTTTTATGAATCAAGTTTCTATCTATTTATTGTATAATCCTTTAGACTTATAGGAAACATATGTTTTCTCTTTCTGTAAAAATAATAAATAATATAAAGCTATTTAGGACTTAGTGATATCTCCCTAAGGTATAAGTAGATTTTTATTATTTTACTATTTAGGAAACAAATCCTGTGATTCGGACAGTATCCATATTATTCTATCATATGGGAAGTACATAAAATAGCCCTACCTAATCGGATTACTGGTAATGATATATCCGTTGCTGATGTCTGCCTATTTAGGCCCTAAGTAGTAGTTGGACTACCATCATTTAACACACATTAGTCAATTCATCCATTAGATTGTATATGTCCTATTGTTTATATGACAGCCAAACAAAATATGCATTAAAATCAACCATAATAAGATATGGCTAAGGAATATTAAGTAGCACTATTCTATGACAATACATAGATTTCGAATTGATTAATAAACAGTAGTATTTATGTTGTTATATTTTAAATTTTGTTTAATTATTATGTATGTTTTATAGGATTTTTTAATATTAAATTATAGCATGTACAGTCAGGTATTTTACTGGAATTTTTACACTGTGTCTCAAGACAGATATTAAATACTGTTTTAAGTTTGATGCAGTCATTATTTATATGTATATTAAATAAGTCATTATATATATTAAATAAGTATTCATTAAATTAAATTTGATAACAATATTTCTTTTATTGTCTTATTGGTTTTTGACATTTTCTCTTTGTTGTTACCGAGAGCCACAAGAACTACTGCATTAATTTTAGTTTCATGATTTACCATTTGACTAGTAGTGGAATATGTATCTGAATATAAGCATATTTTGGTAAAGTGGTAGCTGCAAATATAAATAAACTTAATATAAGTACTTCTGAATAGTCACTTTATTTTTTATTCTACCACTCATTCAGATTGTAGACTCATCACAAGTAGAATGAGCAAATAGCTTGTGTTACTCTTTGAATAAATAAATGTTGTTTTATGTATATTTACATTAACAAGGATTAGGCATGCGACAATCATGGAAACTGCCACGCACTTAATCTCTGTTCAATCAGGTAACATTGTCAGCACTATGAATTTTAAGTTAGATATTTTCTACAAAAACATTATCATTTATAAACTCTTCAATTTTGTAATAAGCTTTCTTACAAAGAAAACATTTTATAAGACATTTGAATATTTTTCTGGCAAATTAAGTACAGACTCTGGCAGTTGTAAAACCTTACGCAATTTCCATAAAAACGAAACAAATGAAAAATGGCTACAATGCCTAATGGAGATAGTTTTCCCTCTACTTTTCTTATAAACCATTGGATTGATATCACTATAACAATAATTGCGATACAAATCGCAATTATTATACTAAATATATTATAAATATTTATAAAAATATTGGCCGTTGAAGGCTTTCGTTAGATCACACCCATTTTATAGGCGTTTACTTGATGTATACCTGCAATGACTGACATTTTCGGTGAACAATTTCGTCAAATTGGGTTTATCTACTATCACTCATTTTCTACCTTTATTTACTATTTGCAAGCTATACAATAAACTTATAACACAAATACGAAAATGGAAAAAGGAGAAAATTTAAAACACCCGCTCAATTTGACTTCCCGCCAAAAAGTCCAGAAATGGAATCCGTATATAAGGGTTACCCACTTCAAAAATTAATTATTTCTAATTTCTTACATCAAGAAGAAATGGCCCGCAATACCATGCACATGATTGCTACTTTTATGGTCTTGTTGTAGTATTTTTGAGTGGACGTGATGGTGAAGAATTTACTCAGAAATTACCCTATTGATAAAATATCGTACGTGGATGATGAACTCTTGGTCCGTCTCGAAGACGTTTTTACAATTTCTTTAAAATCCCCTTTATATTCAGGAATTCAACATTTCCTAATTGCCTTCAAGGTTTTGTCATGATGGGTTAACTAACGTGAATTCATGCTCATCCCATTGTCCTCCACTGGTGTCCAGCCGCGCCGAAAAACCATAAACTTAGCATCAGTGCATGGATGCAGCTAAATTATATTTTGTTTACGGTAAGATATTAGTCTTTCTAGTATCCACTCATATTCAGTTAGTATTGGTATCTCATCTCACATCAGTTGGCAACCCTGTTCATATCCTATCTCTGACTTGAGTCGGGAGGGAGCAAACGAACTAGTTCGTAATAGAGTGTCAAATACGAATGAAAAGCATTATGGTCGCGTCAATAAAACCGAAGTCTTTAGAAATAGCTCCGAATCCGATTTTTTTTTATTTTACTATTAAACTACTATTAATCAAATTTTTTTCAAAAAGGGAGATGTAGTCCTGACTTTAATGAAAAAAATCTTTTTACTGTTTATATTAATTAATGTCAGCTTATAAAATGAAAATTGTTATAATATTAACTGTGCCCGCGGTTTCACCCGCGTGTGTACTAAGATACAAATAAAAACTATTATCTATCTATTTTATAGCCTATATGTTAGGAATATAAATATTTTGTAATATTTTATCTATATCAATTATGTATTTAATAAATATTAGTTAAATATTATTATAAAGAATTACTCCTTATTTTACTGCAATTATATTTCTTATTAAGAATGATATTTTTCAATACTAACTATGCGTCCTATTCTATAATCACTTAATTATTTATCAATTTCACTTGCTTCTTTAGATGTAGATGGACGAGGGGATCTAAATTTACAAATTGTGCAGTAGAAATTACATCTCGGAGATTTTGTATTTCAATTACACCATTTATGTCATCTTTACAGTGGCAATCTGTAATTTTGTCAGAAAATTTTTTCTTCTCCGTTTGTTATTTTATAGGATTTTTGTAACCGGCTGCGTTTTATTGACCGGCTTGAACAAGACGTATCGGTTTCCATGCTTAATATAATAGTATAGTTAGAAGCCGGAGAGACCAAACCGATCGTTTAAAGTTACCCGCTCTTTTTAATTATTGGGGTAATAGAATAGTTATAGTTATTATAACTCTTATTAATTCATATTATAAATGCGAACGTTTGTGGAACGTTCGAACAAACGTTTGTGTCGCGAACTAGTTTTTCACGCAAAAACCACTTTTAGCGGCTACGTTGGAGCCGCTATTATTTACGTTTATTGGATCTTGTGTTCATGTAGCATCAGCACCAGGAGGAGACTAGAAACCAGTCGTGAATGTAATTAAAAAATGTAAATAAAAAATAAGTAAATAATATTTATAATATAAAAGTATTTACAATTAGTATATGTACAAGAAGGCGATTCGGTCTCGAATCACAGGCCTGTTATTTTATTTTTCACTCGCAACACAGGCAACGGTTTCCTGTGCGATATTAGTTAATTCGCCACACACTGAACGGATTTTGATGAAACTTTACTGTAATATAGCGTAAAATAACAGATAGGCTATAATTTGTATTATGCAAATTAGCCGAAATATAATGATCAATATCATATAAATGTGATGCAGACGAAGTTGCGCGGGTTAACTAGTTCCATATAGAGTTCTCACACTAACTGTCAGAGAACGCCATTCTCCATACAACATGTTAACCATAAAGAGCCCATTACTCCTGTAGTATGTTTATTTTAATTTTTCTCTATGGTATTCAGTAAGGGTTCTCAATCTCACATAATTGTTGTTACTTTACTTTTAAATAATATTTTTTTTCTACCATTATGAATAAGTGTGATTTTAAACATGTCTAATAATTAAATAGTGTGTTGGAGACATATTTTGTGCAATGTCCACTGCTGTTGTCACAGGTACGTTATTACTGCTGCTATTATTGTAATTTGATTCCAAACCAAGCTATGGCTTCCATTTTGACAATACTTTTTCTCTCGTGTAATCGTTGAATAGTTTCTTTACTTGTGAATCATCATTTCTTCGTAAGTATAAATTAATGTTCTAGACTTTCTATCCGGTGCATGTGTACTAATTAACGGGTCATAACCAAAGTTTATATTTCTAAATCATGAAATTTTAATATATCACAAGATTGATGACCTACAAAGATTTAAACGGCTTTTCTTGGATACAACGTAAAATTCCGTGCCTTTGTTACATTTTGGCAGTTTGAAAAATATGCTAAACTTGTCAATTTGTATGTATTCTTACATATTACGCATTGATGATTGTACCTACGTCATAGTGCTCAGAATATTAATAGGTTATGGCAAACAATAACTCAATCAATTGAAATGTATCTACTAAAAAACGTCATAGAATGCTTCCTATATAATGTATAATATAAAAGGTCATCTCAGATTAATCTGTAGAAACATATAGGCGAACAGACAGTACTGTCAAATATTGGCATGTGGCTTTGATAAATTACAATATGTACAAATGTATGTGACCCTAAACATGGAAAGTTTTGTATACTTTAACTGTAGAAGTTATATTCAAATTGGTTAAAGCCTTTTATATGATTGTAGGCTGGTATAGGCTACATATTATAATTAAAATGTGTATTAATAATAATAAAGGATAAAAATACTCATAGACATAATAATGATAACGTTAATATTCTGTACCAACAATATGCTACATCTGGGCCGTTGTGCGCAGAAACAAAACGTTGTATAGATAAGTCAATGGGTAGTTTACATGCGCAACGGCCCAGATGGGAGGTAAACGCAGAGACGAGTGTCTATATATATAATATCACATTACTTATCTGTAGTATATATATTATATTACTCTAGTTTTACATTAACTCAGGTTTTTTTTTTTAATATTTTCCCTGTGCCAGCCTAACAGTATGCTGAAACAGTATAAAAAGAATGAGGATAAAGTCAAGTTATTATTTACCACAAATGTACCACAATGTGTGATAACATATTCCTCATTTTTTATCTATATTAAATATTATCTTTTTTGTTTTATTATTACAAACAACATGAATGAGTAATATGTTTATTTGTAACTCGCCTCTGTGTTTGAAGGTTTGTTCGAAGGCGTTATACTCAGCAGAGTAAGGAAAAAGAACAACAATACACTAAATTTATAAGTATTTTTTAGACATGTTTTTTAGTGTGTTATAAATGATTCAGAAAAGACACTAAAGGAAAAAGTTAGTTAATTAATGATCAACAACTAAGCTACATATGAATAGTAAAACTATTATAGAAATGACATATTTAATACCTAATATCAAACTTGATGCCTAACATTTTTTTATTATCTATATTAAATATGTCTTTTTGTTGACGCATGTTGGTGTTAACATGAGTAACGAAAATGACATATTTGATATCAAACTTTATTATCACAGAAGTACAATATCTCTGTATTTAATTATTCATACAGCATTTTTGTATGTAACATTTGCTAAGTAAACTTGACAGGCGTTGTACTCAGTAGAGTAAAGAAAAAGAGCAACAATATACTAATTTTATATGTATTTTAGTTATAAATGATTTAGAAAAGACAAAGGAAAAAGTTAGTTTAATTCGTAATCAGCAAATTTGAATATTTAACATTTGCCAAGTAATCTTGGCAGGCGTTTCCAGGCTCAACAGGGTGAGGAAAAACAGCAAAAACATACAAATTTTGTATGTTTTTTTAGAGTGATGATCTTTAGTGTGTTATAAATGATTTAGAAAAGACTCATAATATTTTTAGAAGGGACACTTAATTCATCATAAGCAAATAAGCTACATATGAATAGTAAACCTTCTATTACAGAAATGGACCTTAAATTTTTATTACTTTTTTTTCTAATATCACTTCTTTTTAGATGCTTAAGGTAGTGTTGTTCCAATAGTTGAGCACTCAGTCAATTTGGGTGGTAACAAAGGCTCTTTTATATTTTGTTTTGGAGTTTAGTAACTTTAACTGTCAGAATACTTGGTATTCTGACAGTTATGAATCTGGGTGCATTCAATACAAAATTTTGGGCACTTTGTATGATGTTAACAATTTACTTTGACACACTTCTCCAGAGTTGTAAGTGACATGTTCATACATGTCTTAGGACTTGTCAGCAGTTTATTTTCATTTGTTATCACTTGGCCTTTGTGTATAAAGGACAGGTTGACTCATAGACTGCACAATGTGTATTATTAACAATGATTAATAAAATATATACATAGGACTAATATTTATTGTATGTATTCATTTAAATTTATAGTAAATACTTCTGCTAGAGTGTGTCATTATGTGTAGTTAGTTAGTAAAAGCTTTGAATTTATTGTCAATATACAGTTTTCTGTTTCAACCCATAAGCCAGTAGAGGTTTTTAAACTGAATCATCAAACAGGATTCGGGACAAACATTCTTTTTCTTCATTATTCTTCTTGTTCGTTTTTGGAGAGAACATTCTCCAAGTCAAATGATGGTCATGTGTAATCCAAGATATTTAACAGTGTCTTTATATGTTAAAGCATAATTTTCCAATTGCACTGGTGGGCAATTTCCATGTTTTAGTGTTAAAGATGATTTGGACAGATTTTATAATGCTGGTCCAGACTTTCCATCTTAATAATCTCTAATATCTGTGAGATCTAATTGTTGATCTAGGTTTAACTGATATCACATTGTTCTCAAATCCATCATCAGATACATGATACGGGATGAATACTTCAGATAGGTGTTTGGTGATGACATTGGCCAGTTAAGATTCCACACAGACCTGTGTTCAGATAATGTACACATGACATGTCTCCGCTATAAAATAAAGAAATTTCTTCCTTTTCTCATAAAAAGAAACATGTCTTTGCCTCAAAATAATGAAATTTCTTCCTTTTTGTCATAAAAAGAGACATGTCTTTGCCTTAAAATAATGAAATTTCTTCCATTTCTCATAAAACGAGACATGTCTTTGTTTTGAAAATGAAATTTCTTCCTTTTCTCATAAAAAGATCTACCAGATCCGGCTGCTTGTGTGGATCACATGGCTGAAGATTTTGGTTCCCTGGTTGAGATATGCGTTAGGTTCTTTTTATCTGTGCTCAATTTAAGTCTACCTCTTGTGGTAGTTTTTTTATGGATTATAATGGAATGATGCACCCGCCTGCGCCTAAACGCTTGTGGGGCACCAGTGAAGAAAAATTTGCAATATTATGAATTAGTTAAAAAAAAAATCTAGACAGTCAGATAAGAGAGACAAGTAGATAAAAAGATAGAGAAAAGACTACATAAACATTTAGATATATCGATAAATTGCTTCTTTTAGTAGATATCTAATAGCACACCATTAATCATAGGAGCAAAAAAAATTACAAAATGTACAATCTTATATAATAAACTATTTAACAAATCCCATGTTCTTAAGACACACGTGTTAATTTTTTACAACGTTTTGCGTCCATTGTTTATTAGTTCTACATCCCAGGGAACATATAAACTAAATTGTGTAACCACTGGTGAGCGTCCATCAATTATGTAATTAAAAAACTTCCAATAATTGATCACAATAGTTCCCAGGCTATGATGTGTATATAATGGAATGATGCTCCCGCCTGCGCTAAAAGTTTACCCTGGCGGGGCACGAGTGGAAGATGATATCATCTTGAACAGCAATTAACCGCTATGGTTTCCAGGAGAACCACGTGAACGTCAACCTGACGCAAGCAAAGGGGCAATGGGGTTACTACCCCAGTACTAACAATCCCTTTCTCTTGCCAGTGTGATTAGGGCCATCAGTTACGTCACGCTAATTTTATGATAAAAATCGTGAGGTCACAAGGAGGGTAAAAACCACTCAGATTATCACAGCTGCTCATTTATGGCAACCCTCTCCCTATTGTCACACATTTTGAAATTTTGTCACATTATCGATCCGCCTTTTCCCTTAAAGTATGACTTAATTTTTGCCCACATTCTAAAGGTTTTTGACATTATAATATTTATAAAAATTACGTGTCACGTTGTTTGTCCGCGATGGACTCCTAAACTATTGAATCGATTGTAAATTTGATTAGAACATTATGTGCATTTGATCCAACTTGAAAGATAGGATAGCTTACATCGCAATATTATTTTAGCCACAGCAACTCGTGGCCGGGTTTGCTAGTAATCTGATAGTTTTAACACGATATAGATATAATTGAAGTAGAATCCATATAGTACGTAGATTACAGAAGTAACATAATATAACAAAGCACACATATATAAAGAAAGCACAACGGAAATCTTAAATATTATAAGTTTCATCAGATCATCAGCAACAGTAGCCTATACAGCCTAAATTGAACCTAAACTCCAGGTGGGTGAAAGATTAAGAACTTAATCAATTAACATCATCCCATCCTGGGCTGGTGTCCCCTCCCGCCAGCGGATATCCTGTTAGAAATAAACTAAAAATATTACATACAACTGATAGTTATTTGGCCGGATATTCACAACACCGGAAGTTGCGGGGACTGAATGGTTGACTATCTGACTCATGAGACCCCTTTACACGTAGCGTTTTGGTTTTCGCACGAAAAATAATGTATTTACAACCAACTGTGTCCACGACTTCGTCCGCGTGGAATAGTGCATTAGCCAAATAAAATATTTAATAATCTTACCCAAAAAAAAAAGAGAAAAAAGCTTCATCGTTCTAGCTTCAAAATGGCGAATTTTGAAATATTTATTATAAGACCACAATGGATCTTGAAGGGCGCAGCAATGTTACAATGAATGAATTAGCTTTTATATTTTTTCTAATTAATAATATTTAGACAAATTACCTTATATATTTTTTCTAATTTATATGATTGTATATTCTAATGATTTACTTTTTTGCAAGTTCTCCGTCAAATATTCAATGGTA